TTTCACAATTCTTCTGATAAATCAATAGCTTGTTATTAACACTGCTACTTCTGTATTGTACCTCAGGTGCAGCATAGTTTGGGCTTCCACAACTTGTTTTCAGAAAATGACCATCACGCATGATATTACTCAAACCGAAATCAGCAATCTTCACATTGCATTTAGAATCTAGAAGCAAGTTCTCGGGCTTCAGATCTCTATGGACAACCATATTCCTGTGGCAGTACTCCACTCCAGAGATTATCTGCAATCACCCCAGAATGCAGTTAAAATCTGTAATTCTGAACAGAAGAATCAAGGTACTCGCTTTAGAATGGACAAGATTTGGGATATCTATCACCCGACCTGCTGAAAGAAAATGCGTGCCTCTTCCTCCTGTAACCTACCCTTCTCCACAATGTAATCAAACAACTCACCAGATTTTACATATTCCATCACAACGTATATATCTGAATGTGTCTCTACAACCTCATACTGGCGTATGATGTGGGGATGCATAAACAATCTCAAAATTTTGATCTCTCTTCGTACTGCAAGAAGACAACCACTCTTGAAGTCATCCAATAAGGTCCAGTAAACAAGAGCGCTTTTAGAATTGAAATTGATAAAAATAACATGAACACAATAGTAGAGCTTTTTAAGGATGAATAAATTAGGAAGAAACATTTCAATGAATTCTCTGTTAATGAAATATTTAAAAGGCTATGGAACTTGAGCTATAAAAACAGTAACTTACATCAGTTTCTGGAAATTTATGTAAAGTCAGCTTTAGAAAAGTTCAGATTATAATTTGAGACACAAAACTAACCCATATTAAAGGATGAAATTAAATTACAACTAAACAGGTACTATAAATCTCAGACTATCGGATTTTTGGGAAAAAAAATTGGGCACATTCAGCATCAAACGAAAACAGAATGCAAGTTTTAAACAACTGATATGTAAATTGTGATGCAATAAACTTGGCTATGGGGAAAAATAATTGAATGTATCCAAATGCTGTGAGGACAAGACATAGGCTTGCAGTAAAATCTGCTCACATAAAAAAAGGATAAAACATAGTCAATTTTGCATAATCCAACAATTACTGTAGTTTGATTCTCATCTCAGAGCAGCAAATACCGGACAGCCAAACATCAGGTAATGAAGGACCGCTAAGAAGCACGGATACGGATACGCCGATATGACTTTTTTGAAAAACTTAGGATACGTCGATACGTGTTATAAAATTCAGCATAAATTTATTAATATTAAAAAATATTAATACAAAAACATGATAATGAAAATAAATAAAATACCAAAGCACTTTATCTTAATCATTAATTGTAGAAACTTCATTTCCTTCAACATCATCAACAATTTCTTCATTATTATTAAAAATAACAATCTTCAACTCTGACTCATTTAATGAAAGACTAGCAACATCCAACAGTCTAACACCTTCAAGAACATCAAAAGAGTTTCCAACAATGTCCCACATTTTGGATTTTTCTTTTGAATAGAGATCTAAATTTATTTATTTTTTTTATTTTTTTATAAAATACGCAAATTGCTATGAATGAAAATCAATTCTTCAACTCGTTGTAGAGTTATCTTATTCCTTCTCGTAGAGTGTACAAAAGAGTATGGCATTAGATGAAGAAGAAAGTTGCACAAAAAGTTTCAAAGCAGTATTTTGTAGTGAATGTGCATGTTAATCATGAAGCATTGGATACGTATCAAAAATCATACAAAAAATATAAAATACGTATGGGATATGTATCGGATACATAAAAGTTATAAAAATATATAAAATAATTAAAAAACAAGTATCAGATACGTATCGAAGGGTATCAGAGAGTATCGGATAGTATCGACGTATCGGATACGGGTACGTAACAAGTTTACAGGTATCGATGCTTCTTAGAACGACCGTATTTCCCCCAAAGAGATGCACGAATAGGTTACAGGCAATAGATTATAACATATGTTACATAAAGATAGATTGACCAACCTTTTTCTTCCATATCCATATTCTTTATTTTCTTACGGTTAAGGATCTTGACAGCAACTTTGTGCCCAGTCAATGCATGTTCGGCAATTTTAACTTTACCAAATGAACCAATGCCAAGGGTCTTCCCAAGCTTATAGTTCCGAAAGAATGCATCGACACTACCATCCTGGCGTGATCCATCCATATTCCTGAACATTTAGATGAGAATTAAAATGATATGGGTACATAAAGGCGTGTATATAATACTGCAAATACATTCCCCTGAAACACACATTGGTATATCAAAAATAACTGGTAAGTAGTGACAGATTTTTTATCTTCCAAGTTAAAGTCGGTTATTAGCAGAAGGGCTGCCAAAAATGCATGTACCATTGAGAAGGAACAACAGGTCAGAAAAATGCGGGTATAAAGCATATTTAGAGCATGTTTGGTAGAGATTTTAATCCAATTAAAATTATTTTTTGACCTTTATTTTACTATTTCAACCATCATTTTTGAATTCTTCTCTCACAAATAGGACCCACTTTATCTCTAACGATCAAAAAATCAATTAACAAAATCTCAACCAAACAAGCACTTAACAACTTAGGTAGATTAAAACTGATTTTCATAACTATATCAGTATCAAAACCCAAGATTTCCAAGCC